TTGCTGAGGCTCGCTAGGGAACTCCAAGAGATCACAGGATGGTTCCTGGAGTGATGGACAGCATTACAAGCATCAGATAAGAATCTGGATCAGAGGAGTCTAGGGAGCTAGGATAGCTTTACTGTAAAGAAAGTAAATAGGGTTTTTAGTTTTTCTTTTGTTGTAGTTGTTGGTGATGGTGGTGGTGGTGGTGTGTGTGTGTGTGTGTGTGTGTGTGTGTGTGTGTGGTGTGTGTGTATTTGTGTTATTTTTTAGGAGACATCTAAGGAAAGGAATGAGGGCCAATCCAAAGTCACACACATTTAGTTCTTAAGCCCAGCCCGCTGCTATTTGAAAATAAAAATATATAGGTACAAAAGGAGCATTATGTGTATGGTAGGGGTCTTCACAGCAGATGCTAATTGTGCTGGAGTTCCTGTTTCTTGTTTGGTGAGAGGCTTCAACCAGAATCCTAGACAAGGAGCTCTTTCTCCACATCATAGCCCATAATTATTCCTGTCTCACCATCACCTAGGCAAAGTGATTATAAAGAGAAATTTTCTTATTTGTTAAATGAATCAATGAATGTCTGTAGGCCAGTCTTATCTAAAACAGGTTAATGAGATCATTGTCTCTCATATTCTGCATTTAGTATTGCCAATAGCCTAGAAGTCTGAGCAATTTATTTTACATTTAACCATGGAAAAATAAAACTTTTTAATCTATTACCTAGTATTGGAGTTTCTATATTATTATTATTAAAGCTGCATCTTAGTTGAGTTATAGAATCAAGAAGGAAGCATGATTTTATCTTACAGTAAATGGGGCAAGCAGGGTGGTTGAAGGATCCAAATAACCTACTACCCAGAAACATCTGCATGGAGGCATCATGGAGCCCAAAGCCAGTCTCTGGCCTGGAGCAATCTAACAATGATGAAAGCAACCAGGAACTATAAGACCAAATCATAACCTGGGCCTCACAGTCAGAGACCATGATGGAGAAATGGTGTAATAAAGAATAGATAGAACCAGGGAGAAAGTTGCAATTCAAATTGGAACTCAGCCATCACCACTGTGTATCACATTGGTTTGAGTTACATAATAAAACAACACTTATCATGGAAGAAAAGTGATGATTTTTGTGTAGTGTTTTGCACACTTCTGAAACATCCAAGTACATATCTAATCATTGTTTTGGGGAAAAGAATTAAGTTTAAACCCAATGTTCCAGCAATATCTGCAGGACAAAAACACTATGGCCTCTCAGACATATTCCCCTGCTCTTGAATGCATATACAGTAAGCATATTCCCTATACTTGCATACTCCTCTCTTTCCCCTCTCCCTTCTATTAGCCCTGCCTTAGTTATGATTTCTATTGCGACTCTTTTAAAGGAAAACATTTAATTGGAGCTGTATTACAATTTCAGAATTTAAACCCATTATTACCATGGTGGCATGCATGTAGACATGATGCTGGACAAGGAGCTGAGAGTTCTATATCTGGATTGGCAGGCAACAGCAAGGAAGATCAAGCCAGTCTGTATCTTTCCTTGAGCATCTGAGACCTCAAAGCCAGATCCCAAAGACCAATTCCTCCAACAAAGCCACACTTCCTAGTAGTGTCCACTCTCTATGGGCCTAAGGGGGTCATTTTCATTCAAGCCACCATATTCCACTCCCTGGCTCCAATAGATGTGTAGCCATATCATGACGCAGAAATGCATACAGTCCACTTTTGTAAATCCCCATAGTCTTAAGTCCCCATAGTCTATCACAGTATCAGCACTGTTCCAAAGTCAAAAGTTCAAAGTCTCTTCTGAGACTCATGCAATCTCTGAACTGCCAACTCCCTGTAAAATCAAAAAGCAGATCACATGCTTCCAACATATAATGGCATTGGGTATACATTAGTATTCCAAAAGGCAGCATAGTGAGGAAATAATGGACAAGGCAAAACTGAAAATCAGCCAGGCAAACTACAAATTCTTCATCTGCATGTGCCATGCCAAAATGTTCTTCAGATGCCCAACTTCTTTCAGCTTTGTTGACTGTAACACATTTCTCTTTCTAGGGCTAGTTCCACTCCCTGTTAGCAGCTCTCCTCAGCAGGAATCCCATGACTCTTAGTGTCTCCAAGACAATCCAAGGCTTCACCTTCATAGCCATATGCAATGGCCTCTCTAGGCCTCCAATCAGAGACATCCCTGACATGTGCCTGGCCTCAGCAACTTTCCTTAGTCATGGAGGGAGTTTCCATAACCCCTATCTTCTGTCCTTGACTCTAAAAGATAGAACCATTCGGTAGAAGCTGCCAAGTTCTGCTGCTTGCTGGGGCTAGCACATGACTCCCTCTTTCAATTACATCTTTATCAGCTTTCTGTTTTCAATGGTTTTCTTCACTGCCTAAATTTAGCTTTGGCTTTTCTGAACCTCGATCTGTAGACCAGGTTAGCTTCAAACTCAGAGATATGCCTACCTCTGCCTCCTTAGTGTTAGGATAAAAGGTGTGCATCACTGCAACCAGCTCTAACTTTAATTCCTATTTACAATTTGTAAACTTGCCCCGAGGTCACCACTCTTTTTATTCCACTCACTATCAGGATTTTCTTTAATCTGTCTATCTCCTTGAACACAGGACTTCTGTTCACATCCTTGCCAGCATTTGGTGTTTATTTGCTTGATGGTTACTGGTCTGACTGGGGTAAGAGAAATTCTCTGTGAATTTACTCTGTTTTTGAGAAAATATTCAAAGATAAAGGCAGGTAATGCTGACAAACCTGCAATCTCAACTTCACACAAATTTACATTTACAACTATAAACAAACATAAAACTGCACAAACTCTGGGTATGTCCTCCTCAGTTGTGTTTTTTTTGTGATGTTCTTCAAATTTGATGTTTAGATGCTCTATGTTCCTAATGAAGAGGGTTGCTAAGTCTTGTAAAGCATTGTTGCTAGTAAAGTATTAATTACTGATAATGCATTAAATCTTGGTCATGTTTGTGTGTGGGCTTAAAAATGGGTTCACAGAAGACAACAGATTACAAGCACATAAGGACCATACCTTATGCAGCAAAAAATAAAAATACAACAAAAGAAAGCAACTTTAAAACTGTGATTAGACAGACAGTGGTGGTGCACGCCTTTGATTCCAGCACTCTCGAGGCAGAAGCAGAAAGACCCCTGTGAGTTCAAAGCCAGCTGGTCTACAGAATAGGCTCCAAAGCTACACAGAGAAACCCTGTCTCAAAAAAAAACCAGAAAAAACAAACAAACAAAAATGTGATTAAGGATTTTGAGATAAGACAATCATCTAGATGAGCCCTAAATACAGTCACCTATGTTCTTATAATGTCAAGACCAGGATTTTACTACACAAAGTAGAAAAGGGTAATTGAGGGCAGGGATTAGTGATATGACATGGTAAGCCAAAGATTGCTGGCAAAAGTGGAAATGTGGAAGAGGTACCATACAGACCCTGTCTTGTAGCCCCAGAGAATGCAGACTGTAAGTTTTCCCTGTAGAACTGATTTCAGACTTCTGGCCTCTAGAATTGTGAGCAGGAAAGCTGCAAGTCTATGGTAATTTATCATGGTTTGTGACTATTTGTTATGACAGCCCCAAGAACCCACTGTAACTTATTACACTGTATTACAATTTCCCACGAGATAGAAAACATCTCAGGTGCATTTGGGCCACAATATTTTTAACGAAAAAGACAGTATCTTTTCTTTTAGCCAACAAACTAGCTTCCTCAAAAACCTAAGTCAAGACAGCAAGGAAATATCTTCAGATTGGTTTCCATTTTCTTACTAGGTATGAATTATTGCATGAATCAAACAGTATATGAATACCCCTTCACAGAAGGTTCTGTACCCTGTTATTTAAAACAAAGAAAACGTTCTGTTTGCCTAACACCTAATATAACACACCATCTTAGGAAACAACTACAAATACCTCAAACTGATTTTACGTTTTTCTCGATTATTTCATAAGCAGACATCAGGTGAAAATAAACCAACTCACTTCAGTGTAACATAATTGAGGTGACAGAATTGCAAGGCACTTTCCCTCCTGTGATCAAGGACAGAAAGACCCAAGTCCTGTGTTCACAGAACAATGGAGTTGGCACTACATTACATCAGTCATCTGATGCAGAGTAAGGTTTGACCTAATCCCTATTATCATAACAGAAGAAATGGTACAAAGTAAATCTCAAGAACAACATTTCCCAGAAACCAGACCTGTGAGATGAATTAAAATATGACCTGAGAGGCCTCTATCTTTCTTTAACCTAAGGTTAGCCAAGGCAGAGGCAAGTGGGTGCAGCCTCTCTCCTGATGATCTTACTTAAATTGCCTGACAAATCATGGTCAATTTAATGAAAATAAAATGATGATAAAAGACTATGATCATTTGATCCAAACACTAACATGTTGTGTCACCTGGTTGTCCAAATCTCTTCCTTTTTCTTAGTTTTTCTTTGACATGCTCAAAATGATGCTTACTATACATCATCATTTCACACCACAGTCAGTACACACAGACAGGACCAGCTGCAATTTACAAATGCAATAAGACTTTAATTGGTAGGAGAGTGTCCTCCATAGTATGAGACTGTAACATCCAACATGGTCCTCGAAGTCTCCTCTTCAAAGTTGAAGAACACGTGGTCGTGAATATATCACCAACTGCCTGTTCATCCAAGTGTTGCATTTGATTTCAAAGACAATAAAAAGAATTCTAGAACTCAAGAGTGGTTTCCTATCAGGACTTATTACAAATAACCACTATTATTTCTCATCAAGCCATAAAACTCATGAGATTATATTAACCGGCATGTACGTGGGTAGTGTCTACATTCAGGCTGAATGACCAAATAGATTATTTTAATTTTGATTACTAGAGTCTCTATACGTCTTTAAAAATTGTTTGGGGTCTCCCTTCTCCCAGGTGCTAGTAGAGATGAGAAGTGGAAGTCAGCGGCCTCCCACATCCCAAATAGGGGCGAGGCTCCTCCATGTGGGTGGAGACCGCGAGCGGCCCCACAGAGGATCAGGTGGAGATCCTGGAACACAACTTCAACAAGGTCAACAAGCACCCCGACCCCACCACGCTGTGCCTCATCGCTGCCGAGGTCACGGAGGAAGAGACACAGAAATGGTTTAAGCAGCGCCTGGCCCAGTGGTGGTGCTCAGAGGGCTTGCCCTGCTAATGCAGGTCTGTTACCTTCAACCTTGCTTGCCCGCACGGTGAACTCTACCCGCTCCCCCCTGGACTCGACTTACCCAGGCTGTTTTGATGTTTCAATGCAGTGTTGAATGCCCCTTTGTTTTCTGTCCTGCTATTTAATACAATGTGTTTTTTTAAATGTGTATAACTAAAACAGAAAACAGGAAGCTAAAAAAATTGTTTGGAAATTCCAATAGGAGAAAGTCTTTGTGCAAACTATACTCTACTTGCAAGATCCCTAATCCTTTTTGGCCAAGTGAATGCTTGCAGAGAAGACACATCTGGTTTATAGAGAATGGAAACATCCACCCCATCAACTACACTAGCCAAAAAAAAAAAAAATGACAGACTCTGGTGACCGGTGGCATGAGAGATGTCTGTTCACTAGTGTCTTAGCATTTGTAAACAAAATGAGCATCATGAGTATAGTGGTAGTAACTATAGTTACCATTTACTCCCAGTGTTTCAAACATGTCAGGGCCTAGGGGATACATAGCATGAAAGGGAAGGGCATACCTTGAGTGGAATCTGCTTATATTGTCAACCTGTAGTGACTACCAGGCAGAGAATAAGGAATGGTGGAGCTCCTTATGGATTGGGGAATTCTAGGCATGAAGAACAGAAGGAAAACTGAACTCAATCCTTATTAGACAAGGTACTGAGAACAACTAATAACAAAACTAGAAAATGGGCAAGGATGATGATGAGTTAAAGTGCATGGAAGAGGTTCAGCTGAGGGAAAACAAATTTTTAGCTTCTGTATTGCTGTCAAAGATCAGTAGCATAGACAGCAGCTGTAGGGTGCTATGGAAAGCAAATATCAGGGGGTGTGTTACAATAGAAGAACCAGACAACTATTTTAGCTGAGATGCTTAGGGTTTGAATAACAGTGAAAAGGTCTAAGTAAACAAAAAAGCTGGTTGAATAGACACTCTTACAGTCTGCTGCAGAGATTAGCTTTGCCCCAGGCCCTGCCCCCCACATGAAGATTTGCAGCAAAATAAAAGCTGAATCAGAGTCTTGAATGCCACGAAAGGGCAGAAAGATGAAGATAACTTTATCCTTAGAGGAAAACGTCTGTTAAACTCTATTCAATATGTCATTTGCTCTCGGGCACATACCATGGCTCATTATAAGCCCTCATTCTGTAAAAGGGAAAATGTAAAGACTAGCACCAAGATCACTTAGGTGATAAGTTGCCACCAGGGTTTGCACCTTGACATGACACACTTTGTTTTAATGTTCAAAAACAAGACTCAGCATGTGACCTCACTCATTGTCAAACCACTGTGTTCAGTTTATACAAGCAATAGTAAGGGACATTCACATTCACAATATATATATATATATATATATTCTAGACTAGCTGGATTCTGACAGAGTCATCTGTCTCAAACTTCCATATGAGGTTAAATTAAAATATTGAAACTTGGGGCTAGAAAGAGGGCTGAGTAGATAAGAGGACCCAAGTTCCATACCCAGCATCCATTTCAGGTAGCTCTCAACTGGGAGGAGCTGGTTCCAGGGAATCCTCCGTGGGCACCTGTATTGATGTGTACATACCCATCCCACACATACACATACAATTCCATAAAATAAATATTTTAAAATAAATAACTCTTTAACAAGTAAAACCCTCCCACTGACTTTGAATTGAAGGCGAAGGGTGTTTTATTACTGAACTTTTTTGTTATTTTCAAGTAATTTAACATCTCACAAGCTAAGTCTACACAAAAGATATCCAGGGTGAAAGAGAGACCAGGTCTGGTTTTTATTAATGGATCCGGGGATCCAACATTGACCAAATGCTCTATTCCTTATAAATTTCTTCCCTGCTGTTCTCAGTCCAGCTGACACTGAGAAAGCACCAAGCTGACTTTTCCCTGCTACTGATGACAATAGAGATTAAAAGATGAAAGCGCAGTTCCCTCCTCAAGTTTCCAAAATCCCCAGGCAACTGTGACCCTGTGTGGACATTTTTACTATCTTTTGGATATCACTACTACTTGTGGGTTGGGCCTATCAAAGGTCAGATGGGTAAGGGCTCTTTTGCTCTACCTGTGTATTAACCATGGGTATGCTTGTCACTTCTGTGATGGCAGGATTGCATCAGCGACTAAGCCCCGCCCACGTGTCATGAGATGCTACTCACATGCTGGCTTCTTCCAGAAGCCGCCATCTCCCTCAGTGTTTGATGAGAGTAGCAGACAGAAGTAAAACTATGATTTGTTACAGTGGGCTACAGCCTCAGAGATGGGATTCCCAGCCCTGTTCAAGTTTCTCCTTCAGTGATCACTGACTTGAGGCACCTAAGGAGCAACTCAGGAACAACTCAGGATCCCAGATTGGGATCCCAGCCAGCAATCAAGTGGTAAGCCACACCACCTGTACCTGGTGAATTTAGGGGTGTGGGCAATGCTACTGCTGTGCAGGTCCAGGGACTCTTCAGGTGGCCCCTTCTTCAGCAAAACGTGGTGGCTGCAGGCACTTTGCACTGGAGCACAGTGGCATTGATCCCTTGTGAGTCACAGGCAGTACAGGGACCTGTGTGATCTTCAGCTAGCTGTCAAGCAGGCCAAGGCAATTCTTGTCACTTCTGTGATGGCAGGATTGCATCAAGGACTAAGCCCCGCCCACATGTCATTGAGCCTGCCCAATGCTGGCAGTTGCCTCTGTCCTTGGTGCTGCCTCTATCCTAGGTGCTGCCACCAGCCTCTGCTACCATTTTCACAGTGTTACTACCTAGGCCTGCAACGCTGAAAAGCAGGCAAGGAAAATGGCTCAAGAGCATTCTTTATTGAACCTTATATTTCGATACCAAGAGAGGCAATGCAAGAGCATGTTTCCCAGGCAACTCGATGAGTGAGCCTGAACAGCTGCACACATAGCCTCAAAAAGGATATTTGTATAATCACAATCATCTGTTTGTCCAATCACAAATATTCATTTGAACTAATTGCAGCTATTAGGGCTGATGTTTTGGTCCAATTTCAGTCTTTCCACCAATCATAGAAGTCCCCTCCCCACACACACCATAGAAAGGCACCCCATCTGGTTAAGGAGGAAATGGGTCACTGAGGCTGGCAATTTCAAGAGATTCTGTAGAAAGGTTTCAAACAGTCTTACCAGGGGTTCTGCCTTCAGGAGACAGATAATTATCTTCTGTCTTGTGTGGTTGTCTCAAAGTGTCCATGGATTGTTCAAGAAGACTTGTGCCTGGATAAGAGTAGTCAGGCTAGCTGATGTTACAGACATCCCTGTCTTTCACGGCAGCTCAGCATCAAGGAAGAGATTCAATACATTTATCTACAAAAAACTGAGTATCCAAGAGAGGGATTACACAAATAAATTGAAAGAATTTATCACTAAGACAAATTATTTTAGCCGTGTTTTAGACCTGTTCTTTTCCTAAGCAAAGGTGGGTACCAGTGTCCCAGCAGGAAGTGTTATCCTTCTGACATGCGGAAAGGTATTTGTTTAGAAGAGAGATATATGTGCCCTTCTTTTTGACTATCAGGCCATTGAAACAACCATGCCTAAGGAATTGGAATTTCTCCAGGGATCTCATGTAGAGGAACAGAAAGAGCTGCAGTCTTCTGCCAGCCACGGAAGGGGGGGGGGCTTCTTTCAAGGAATGGCAACTTGTCTGAATTTTGCAGGAAAATGTAAATATTGACAGATAATATGCTCTGGGCCACATTGTCAGTAAGTGGCACAGGAGGACTAAGGTTCATTATTTCTAGTAGGTATACATACAATAATAATAGTATGTATGTGTGTGTACTATATTTAAGATACATAAAATATAACTACTGATACAGAACTTAACAACAAATATATTTTATGCTACTGTACCCCCATCTTCACCCTGAATAACGAAAACACTTGTTGAATCTGATGTCAGGTGATTTCCTCTACCCCTGGCTGTCTCTTACTCCTGTACTTCCCTCTCCTTAGAAAAAACATAATTCGTCATCTTCCCATCATAATAACTATCTTAAAATGAGATGTTGGGAGCCAGGTGGTGGTGGTACACACCTTTAACCCCAGCACTCAGGAGTTAGAGGCAAGTGGATCTCTGCATTCAAGGTCAACCTGGCCTACAGAGTGAGTTCCAAGAGAGCCAAGGCTGCACCGAGAAACCCTAACATGAAAAAACAAAAGTTAACAAAAAGAAATGTTGAGGCTGGAAAGATAGTTCAGAAGTTAAGAGTATTTATTGCTTTTGGAGAGGACCAGGATTTGATATGAAACATGGACATGATGGCTCAAACCAAAGAGAACTTCAGTTCTGGGGGACCCAGTGACCTTTTTTGACTACTATGGGCAGCAGACATATGCAAAACATTGATACAGATATAATAAAATAAGTAAACCTAAAATCAACTTATAATTGCTGCTCTTCCAGAGGGCCATGTTTCAGTTCCCTGTTCAGTTCCCAGCACCCATGTCAAGTGACTCACAACCACCATCAACTTCTGCTTCTCCTCCTACTCTTGCTTCTGAGAGAACCCACATACACAGAGATAAATACATAAATAAAGATTAATATTTTTAAATGAAGGCCAGTCCACAGGAACATGCCACCAAAAAAAACCCTTGTTTTAAAATTAAAACAAGGAAACAAAAACCTACTGTCCAATAGCCAGGTTCCTGTGTTGGAGAAAGAAGCATCCATGTTACTGTGGGGAGAGGGGAATGAAGGGATAAGAAAGAAGGTAGAGGCCTCCAGAGTAACCCTTCACATTTTCCGTGACTACATTTAGTTCATTTTGGTGGAGAAGCTACATAGAAAAAGACTCTGAAGTATCAGTAATTGCACAGGTGTGGTGGAAACAAGTAAAAAGCCAAGATGGATACAGGGGAGGATCAGTAGATAAAGTGCTAGCTATGCAAGTATGGACTCTGATGCTGAGTCCCTGAGTCCACACAAAAGCCAGATGTATAGAACAAGAATATGAAGTCCTGTCACTATTCCTGGAA